GAGTTGTTAGATAATTAAAGTATGTCTTCTTTCTCAGCCTTCATTTAAGAGCTAGCCTACACAAAGAGAAGGGCAACTGAAGGGCAACCCAAGTGAAATGGGCTTCTAGATATTGACAGCTGTGTCCGTTTCAGGTTATTATTATTTAAAGGCCCAGCTGAGCAGTACCTTTGAGACTGCTTTGAATAGAGTATAAACCTGCTGTATTGAACTACTTTTTTCAGATGTCAGAGTTGCTGGCCACAAATGACAGAAGGCTATGCGTAGAATATTTCCCAATATAAGTATCTTCACGGAGTGTAGAGAAAAGGACCATGGTTTGTTTTCTTTGCCTAAGAAACTCTGCCAACAAGAACTCAGTGCTAGTCCTAAAATTCTGCAAATTCTAAACCCATTTAATGAAGGAAAGTTAGCCTCCAACTATGATTTGCAAAAAGAGGTGAGCTGCTCAGACACCACAGCTACAAACCATGGGCCATTAGAAACAAAAAAATACCATTCTGAATGCCTAGGGCAGATCATTTACTGCAGGAGGACTGAAGCAATTAATTGGGAATGCAAAGAAACAGCAGAGACATGACATTTGCTCCGAGCACCTTCAAAGATCACATGACATTTATTGCAAACTAACCCATCATTAGTACAGAAAATAGAATTAAGCTCTCATTTGGCTCTTTCCGGCAGCCAGCTGAGATGGAAGGCAGCGTGGTTGATTTCAGGGGGACCGGGTCCCGAAGAGACAGGAAGATGGGCTCTCTGAGGGCCACACCCACTCCTGTAGTAGGGGATCCACCCATAGCAGCATCTCAAGGCAAGGCTGAAAGAGAGAAGAAAAGGGTACTTTATGCCTGTTACCATAACTATACTCAGCAACAGAACCTCCGAAACTGGGTTCCATCACAAATGAGTCATTAAAATTAGCCTCTGCTGTCAGTTTTTGTACAGCACTTAGAGATTGGGGTACTTTATAAATTAAAAAGGCGAGCAAGGCTGTGTTATCAGACAGTCCAAACTTTTATAAAAAGCCAGTTCCCTTCCAATTAAGGGTGTTCAGAGCTAAAAAAACCCTGTTCAATTCAGGCATGTTGCACCAGCTGTTAACCAACATCAACTATTTTTGGATAACCAACTTCACAACTCTACAGGTATCTGAAAGCCCCAATTAGCTGGGGAGGATGGAAGTGATAAACTGAAGGGATGAACCAGGTTGGGAAAAGCTGCCCTACAGTTGAGATAACCAACTTCTACAATGAGTTTTTCTTTAACATGAGAAAATGGATTCTTCTCATGTACCAATACCTAGTACTTAATCTTTGATGACATCTAATGGATTTCTTTTATTCTTTCAATGGCTTGCACACCATGGAAGATGACACACTTTTAGCCTACCGGGGTTTGTAAAATGAACGTTTATTTTCATTCTCCCAGAAAAGAGCAGCAATTACAGCCATTATATAAATCTATGGTACAGCCACATTAGGAACATCTTTTCATTTCTTGCTAAATGCTGTGAAATGTCCTATGAACACTTAAGGGGAACAAATTCAAATGAACCCAAAGAACTGGGCTCCATTATGACGAATGATCTGGGAGAGGAGGCCCCAAAGGATGGGACATGTCCCTTTTAGGCTATTATAAATGACTGAAGGTTTGTTCTTGTGCTTAAGGCTCCAGGCTAGAAAGCAGGAGATGGTGAGTTCTAGTCCTGCCTTAGGCATGAAAGCAGGCTGGGTGACTTTGGGCCAGTCCCTCTCTCTCAGCCCAACCCACCTCACAGGGTTGTTGTTGTGGGGAAAATAGGAGGAAGGAGTATTAGGTATGTTCGCCGCCTTATTTATAAAAATAATAAAG